CCCCCGTGTGTCCCAGAAGAACTGTGCTCCATAGGTTTTTAATGGATGATTTTTCAGAGGTAAATTATCAGGCCTTTCTTCCAAGGCGCTTCTAGGTGGACTCGAAATGTCAACCTTTTGGTTAACGGCTAAGTGTGCTAACAGTTGCACCACTCAGGGACCCTTAGATGGCAGTACTTTTAATGTGCTAAAAGGAAGAAAAATGGCTTTTAAAAACGTCTACCTTGAAAATACAAATCTGTATCAGTTGAGCTTTTATGACATGCCAAGGCAGAATAGCAACTAGTTTTTTTAATTAAAAAAAAAAAAAAAAAAAACCCAGTTGCTCTTGAGTCAGTTTTGACTCATGATGACCCCATGTATGTCTGAGTATATCTATTGTGCTTCATAGGGATTTCAGTGGGTAGTTTCTCAGAAGTAGATTGCCAGGCTTTTTTTCCTAAGGTGCCTTGGGTGAACTCAAACTGCTAACCTTTTGGTTAGTAGCTGAGTGTATTAACTGTTTGCACCATCCAGGGACTCTGTTGGTAGAGTGTGCCTGACTAAAATCTAGCTAAGTAATATCTAGGAAGTTAGGTGGTGTTTTCCTGGGGCTAACAGTATGTATACATAATATATACATGTGTATGCCCACAGACTTCATGTGTCCATGTCTGTGACTGTTGTAGTGCTGAGCTGATTACTAAGTTCTTATGTATAGTTAAAATATTTCAATGTAATCTTGTTTATTAATGGAAATCTGTAACTACATGTGTAGTACACTAGTAGTTCTCATAAGCATTGCCCTCATATTTATTTTTTTTCATTTTCTTTAAATCTGCTTTTTATTGCATTGCTGGAGAGAGCAGTTGTGAAGTTTTTTGTTTCTGTTTTGTGTGTATGTGTGTGTGAAAAATTCTAAGGAAAAGATGTGAGTATGTAACTTTTGCTTTGCTTTTTATTTTAAAGGAAATGCAGGCCAAGCTTGCAGTGCAGAAATTAGCTGAAAGGCTGAATATTAAAATGAAGAGCTATAATCCAGAAGGAGAGACTTTGGGGAAATACCGAGAAGTGAAGGATGAAGATGATCAAGCCTCTGATGATGAATTGTGAAGATGGGCATTGGATAATCTAAATCTTTCACTGTTGGGATGTCATTATTTAACATCAGACTTTATAACAAGTATCAAGATCAGTGTCAGACATTATAAAGTTGCACTATGGTAGCTATAAAAAAAAGCCCAGTTCATCTTTCAGAAGATGACTTTCATGTGCTTAAAAAGTTTAATATTTGACTATTGTGTTTAACCACATTGTATTGATGTTTTGCAGTATGTTCTGTATTGGTCTGATATTTTACTTTATAATAGACTACATTTTTTTTTCTTTAAACCAAATGAAAGCAGGTAATTTTGCTGCTTTCCTTAATTCTCACCTCTCAAATAAAATTTTCTTTCAGTGAAATACTTAGTTGTCCCTGGTATCACCTAAAAATGAATGAAAAGAACTACTTCCATCCTTTTTTAAGTAAAGAAGGGAGCAGTCTAGACAATTTTATGCATGTTTGCATGGGGTTATTGAGTGAAGTACCTAAAAGAAGCTCATAGGAAATACTTGACAAGTGTTTGTTTCCTCCGTCTTCCCTTAGGAAAAAAGTTAACCTTTTTTTCTGACTAGGAATAAAGAGTGCTTTTAGTAGATGCTACTTTTTGTAGATACTAGAGATTGGAGGGTTTTTCTAGGTAGTCATTTGCCTGGAGTAACATGAGGTCTAGCAAAAGGCTAAAATCTAGGTGAAGGAAGTAGCTGTGCTTGTTCTTTACCTAAATTGACTTCATTGGTTCATTCATGGGACATTAAAGTTTGGTACGGATTTTTTTTTTTTTTTTAAAGCTACAATTACTGTCTTGTCAATCCATCACTTTTTTTCCCCTAAAGGAGGGGCATAGAGACTACAGAAACCTCAGTCTCATATGTATACATGTTCATGTCATTTTAAGGGATTATATGGTTTCATTTTAAAGGATTATATGGTTGTTTCCAGAGAAAGTAACACTTACGTTATCAAAGATTTCTTTGTTGAATATGTTGAAGCCTTTAAAAAGCATTGAAAGAAAGAATAAAATATTAATGAGAGCAACTTTAGAATGGTAATGGTGATGATTTACTGGTATTCAAGTAACTTCTTACTTTAAAAGAGACTGTTCATATATGATGGGAGCCGTGGTCAAGCACTGGGCTGCTAACTGAAAGGATGGCAGTTAGAACCCACCAGCTGCTCTACGGGAGAAAGAGGTAGCAGTCTGCTCCCATAAAGATTACCCTGTGGGGCAGTTCTGTTCTGTTCTATTCTATGGGATTGCTATGAGTCAGAACTCAGTTGCAGTTGGAGGGGTTCATATGTGAAATTTGACCAAAAGTACATTTCCAACTCAGTGACCCTTGGGTTTCCGAGGTGGTATCTCTATGGAAGTAGATTGCCCAGTCTTCCTTCTGAGGAGTGGCTGATAGGTTTGAACTACCAGCCTTCTGGTTAGCAGTCAGATGCTTTAGGCACTAGGCCACCAGAGCTCCTGAAAGTACATTTAAGGCAGGTGTAAAAGTGATAGAAAGGGTTCAGTTTTATATCATCCACTTCCAGTTGTAGCTGCTACTTCCCATGGCCCCTAACAAAATTAAATGCAAATGTATACCGATATAAATTTCATTAGTTTTTAAAATTAATAGGCAATATCATAACGTAAAATTCTTTGGTCTATCTAACATGTTCTTTATAGAATAGAATAACATTTATGGAAAGGTGGATAATACAAAAGTGCTCACATGCATGTACACACAGTTCCCTATAATCCTGCCACCCAGAAAGAACTATTAATGTTTTAGTGTATGTATTTTTATTTTTCTACATATAGCTATACCTTTGGGAGCTCTGGTAGCATAGTGGCTAAAGCACTTGACTGCTAACCAGAAGGATGGTGGTTCAAACCCACCAGCCACTCCTCGGAAGGAAGGTTGGGCAATCTACTTCCGTAGTGACACTGCCTCGGAAACCCAAGGAGGGGTCGCTATGAGTCGGAAACGACTCGACGGCACATGACAACAACAACAACAGCTATACCTTTATTTAAAAAAAAAAAAAAGATCATGGTATACATTATTTCATAGTGTATATATTGTAAGCATTTCTCACATTAAATTTTTGCATTTTAGATGGCTGTAGAATACTCCATTTCATGGGTATGCCATAATTTTAAAAATCAATTTCCTGTTCAACAGTTCGATTATTATGTAACCTATAAGCAATAATATGATCAATATCTTAAAAGACAGCAACATCTATACAAAAACTATTGCTTTCAAAAAGATAAATTTCCAGAATGAAATTGTTAAAGGGTGTGTAAGTTTTTGAGAATCTTGATACACATTTTACTCACCACAAATGTAGTGTACATTTATGTTCCCCTAGCGATGTATCAAACCTCCAGAACTGATGGCTACTACTGCAAACCTGCAAAGTTAGTAATTCCAGAAAAGGGTCACATTTAAAAATTGTTTCTTTACTAGTTGAGAATTTTTTCAAGTTTTTTGGCTGCTTGCGTTCATACATTTATAGTCACTGCTTATTAATGTCTTCCCCTGTTTTCTTGGGGAGAGTGCCGTTTTACTGATTGATAAGTTTTTTATGAATTAAGAATGGCCATCCTTTATCATATGCTTTAATTTTTTTTCCAGTGTTTTTGCCTTTTAATGGAGTTTATGGTGTTTCAGTTTAGATATTACTCTCTTTGAAGAGTCTTCCTTTGCTTGTATGCATGAACATGTCTTTCCTACCCCAAGGATGGAGAAATAGTTATTCTTTTTTCTTCTAGTACTTTTATTATTTCACTTTTTACACTTAAAAGAAACCTTTAATCCATCTTGAACTTACTTGGTATTAGATAAGATAGGCATTTAATCTTTTGATTTTTTACAAATAGTTGACCAGTTGGTTCAATGATATTAAATATTCCCACCCCCGATTTGTAATACTGTAATGAATAATAAATTCCTTTGTTTCTTGGGCCTCATTCTGGGCTTTCTGATTTCTTCCATACTATTTTAGTAATTATGACTTTAATATTTGGTAGTACAAGGCCTCGTTCATTTTTAAATTTTATTTTGAAGTATAACTGACAGAAAAGTACATAAAACAGACAAAAGAGCAAACAGCTATGTAATGACAAGCCAGAAGCAGAAAACTACTGCCAGCACCCTAGAATCTCTCTGTTACCTCTTGACACTGTTTCTCACCAAGAGATAACTGCTATCCTGACTTTACGGTAATACGCCCCTAACCCACTTTTTAAGTAGTTTTACCAGTAATGTATGCAACAATGTGGTTGGTTTTAGTTTTGTCAAGGTTTGATTTTATAAAAATAGAATTATGCCAAATGTTTTATTGTGTCTGGTATCTCAATATAAAGTTCATGTTATGTGTAGTGTGCTTGGTTCATTTTCATTGCTGTATAATGTGCCATTTTATTAATACCATTTCTATTCAACTGTGATTGATACTTTAGTGATATTTCCGTGTTTTGCTGTTGTAATTGATACTATGATCAGCATTTTTATGCACATAAGACATTTCTATGGAGTCTATACCTGGGACTGGAATCCCTGGGTAGTGCAGATGGTTAAGTGCTCAACTGCTAGCTGGAAGGTTGGTGTTTTGAACCCAACCAGAGGTGCCTGAGAAGATGGGCCTAGTGATCTACTTCTGGAAGGTCACTGCCTTGAAGAAAATCCTATGAAGCAGTTCTGCTCTGTCTATCAGGGTCACCATGAGTCTGAACAACTGGGCAGCAACTAACAATAACACCTAAGCAGTCATAACTGCTGGGTTATAAAGTGTGCATATCTTTTAAGATTTTATATGCCCCATTCCCCTGCCTACCATGTAGGAGAGTTCTAGTTCATAAACACTTAGTTTTGTTAGACTTCAATTTTTAGCCAATTGATGTTCATATATAACAGTAGATAATTGTTTTATTTTGCATTTCTCTGATTAGTAATGACATAGTGAGCATCTTCATATATTTAATGGCTACTTGGATATCTTCTTTTGAAGTATGACCATTCAAGTCTTTTGTCCACCTATCTGTTGTGTCAGCTGTCTTCTTTTTCTCCTTGATTTGTAGGAGTTCTTTATGTATTCTGGATACTAATCTTTAGTTGGTTATATTTGTTATGAAAATCTGTGGGTTACTTTGCATTTTCTTCATGACTTAATGAACAGATTTTTAATTGTAATGACAAGTTTGTCGTCTTATGTTCAGTGTCTGTTGTGTCTTATTTAAAGGAGTCCTCCTCTAAAGTCATGAAGATATTCTCATCTTTTTTTTTTTAAGTTTTAGGAAATAAAATTTTATTTTCAACTTGGGTTTTCTGACATACAAGGAGAATGCTATTTAAAAAATACTACCAAGGAGGTAAAAGCAGCTGCTTATAGAAGGTGAAAATAACAAAATTTGGAAAGCTAGAAATGGCCCAGCCTTTGTCCAGGATTCAGTGGACTGCATGGAACACATAACTAGACTGAAGTTTGATGAGGGAAGAACCAGGTGGCCATTGATTGTTGAATGACTTAATAAAAGAATAAACATTTTAGTTTATTTTGACTCCTCAGTCTCAGGTAAGTTAATTTGATAGGGATAAGGAGGTAGGTGTTTTGTTTTTTGTTTTTAAATTATTTTTGTTAAGACTATACACAGCAAAACTATACCAGTTCAACAATTTCTACATGTCCAATTCTGTGACACTGTATTATTTGAGTTGTGCACCCATTGTCACCCTCCTTTCCTGACATGTTCCTGCCCCCAATAACAAACACATTGCCCCCTAAATTTCCTGTCTAATTAAGTTCCTGTTGTCAGTTTGATCCCATATAGCGAGTTCTTAAAAGAGCACAGTGCTTGACATTCTTTACTAGTTAAGCTAAAATATTTGGTTTAAGAAGACTTAAGGGGTTTAAGGTTTAAAGATTATCTCAGGGCAGTAGTTTCAGGGGTCCATCTAGCTTCCATGACTCCAGAATGTCTGTGTTCTATGAGAATTTGAACTTCTGTTCTGCATTC